ATATAGGATGTCCCAGATCTAATGCACCACATGCTAATGGCAAGTTTCTGAAGTCATTTAGAGATGAAAAATTCTAATACTAAAAATGTTGAGTATACAATAGTTTTCGAGTAGGAAACGTTTAAAAATGTCCAATCGGGTTGTTCATTATTCGCGCGTTCACGTCCGTCACATAGTGAAGATGCTCTTAGATATTAATGTTTAAATATTAACATAATTTTGCGTACATTTTTGAATTTTTTTTGTAGCTTTTTCTATTTATTTAATTAACTTGTTTTATACATTGATAATATTAATAGCGATTAAAAATAAAAATTATTTTACGCAATATTAGGATTATATATCAAAATTAGCATTTCGTACGTAATAGTTATTAGAAAATTAATGAAACGAATATTAATATTAATAAAATAAAACACTGTGTTTTTTTGCATTAAAACCATAAAAATTTATTTTAATAAATTTTATTTTATATTAAAACTTAAAATTTTTTATCTATTACAATAGATGTTCGAAATTTTTACTATCGCATTCTATGCACAATGCATTGTGCACATCTTAATAAATTGCATTTCAAATTATTTGTGGTGTAATAGTGGCAATAGCTTCATTAATTCGATCTCTCAGTTCTTCAGGATTATTAATCTGTTTCCCGATAAACATATTCTTTAATATTCTTTAATGGCCCCAAAAGAAATAATTTAAGGGCATCAAATCAGATGACCTTGCCGGCCAATTTATTGGACCGCCCCATCCTATCTATCTTTCTGGAAATTTAATATTTAATATTCGATGTTCATTTCTGAAATTATGAAGCGCTCCGTCATGTTGAAAAAACATATTTTGCCGTTGATGTAAAGAAATCGTTTATTAAATCTACAAGATCGTTTCTTATAAAATTCTCCTGTTAATCTCATAGGCATTTTTGGAAAAGTCCGATCTGAAACACAATATCAATAGTACATGTTACGTTGGGAATTTAACGTAAGTTTAATAACTTCAATAAATTAGAAAATAGTATGTAATGTAATATAATTTACTATCATAACATCCATTATGTCCATAAATTGATACTGAAATGATAATTTCTTATATGAAATTCATTTGGATTTTCATTTGCCCAAATATGTGTGTTATGTGTGTTAAATAAATCTTCATGGGTAAAATATGATTCATCCGTGAAATCTTTCCTACAAAACCGAATTGATTTTCCTCTTGCTCCAATAACCATGTATAAAATATTAATCTTGATGCATAATCACGTAGCAATAAATTCTACACTTTTGTAAAATAATAAACGTGTAATGTATTTTCTTTTAAAATACGTTGCACTGAACTCTTCGATAAATCTAATTCGCGACTTATTTGACGTATGCTAGTCGTTGGAGTCTCTTCCACAGTTAATAAAACTGCTTCTTCATTTTTGGTAGTGCGAGCAAAACGTTCTACAACTACGTCTTTTCTGTTAGGCATTGCGGATCCAGTTTCACGAATACGATGTACTAGAAAAAACGTTTTTGTCAGGTCTTCTGCGTTCTGAAAAATGTATTGCATATTCGCGAACAGCAAGACGAGTATTTTGTCCATACTTTCCATAAATTAAAAGCATGTCACAATATTCTGCTGGCGTATACTCCATGTTAACGTTTACTAATTTTGTTTCTTTTGACAACATTTTGTTTCTGTTTTCGTTTCTGTTTTTGTTTTATTTCTGATCGTATAAATTTAATGGACAATATACCTTTACATCAACACAAAAAAAGCAAAAAAAGTTTCTTCAACATGACGGAGCGCCATCTCATAATTTCAGAAATGCACGTCGAATATTAAATATTAAATTTCCAAAAAGATGGATAGGACGCAGCGGTCCAATAAATTGGCAAGGTCACTTGATTTGACGCTCTTAGATTATTTCTTTCGGGGCCATATTAAAAAATATGTTTATCGGGAAACAGATTAATAATCCTGAAAAACTGAGAGATCGAATTAATGAAGCTATTGCCACTATTACACCACAAATAATTTGAAATGCAATTTATTAAGGTGTGCACAATGTATTGTGCATAGAATGCGATAGTAAAAATTTCGAACATCTATTGTAATAGATAAAAAATTTTAAGTTTTAATATAAAATAAAATTTATTAAAATAAATTTTTATGGTTTTAATGCAAAAAAACACAGTGTTTTATTTTATTAATATTAATATTCGTTTCATTAATTTTCTAATAACTATTACGTACGAAATGCTAATTTTGATATATAATCCTAATATTGCGTAAAATAATTTTTATTTTTAACCGCTATTAATATTATCAATGTATAGAGCAAGTTAATTAAATAAGTAGAAAAAGCTACAAAAAAATTCAAAAATGTATGTTAATATTTAATGTACGTCAAAATTACGTTAATATTTAAACATTAATATCTAGGAGCACCTTCACTATGTGACGGACCTGAACGCGCGAATAATGGACAGCCCGATTGGACATTTTTAAACCTATTTCCTATTTCCTATTTAAAAACTATTGTATGCTCAACATTTTAGTATTAGAATTTTCATCTCTAAATGACTTCAGGAATCTGTCATTAGCAGGTGATGCGTTAGATCTGGGACACCCAGATATAAAAAAATGTATATATAAAAAATAATTAATAATGATAAAAAAATAAATAATAAAAAATTAATAATAATAATGATGATGATGATGATGATAAATAATTTCATAATATTATATAATATAATAATTTCATTATAATATTATTTCATATTATATGCTTTATTTTCTTCAGCATTAATCAAGGTTAGTCTTCAGTCTCCATGAAAGCAGCCATCTTTATGTTCTAACTGCTTTACCTCGTTGGTTGCAGTAGCCGCAACAGGAAGTACGTCAAAATCAATGACGTCATAGAATTCAAGGCAGTACTTTCGTAGTGCACTGTTCTCTATATCGAAATGCTATATATAGTAGTACTGATAATACTTGGAATGAGTAAAGGAACGCAGCCCCCTAGGCTGCGTTCAATAATTCATTGGCAGTACTGTCAGCATGACGTTATTATAGTGTGCTATGCAAGCGTTTTCACTAGTTCACTATCGCTGTACTGTAAAATTGTAGAAACGGAACGGGATTGAACAGTACTGCATACAACTGTATATGACGCTGTCATATAATAATATAAGAAAATAAAAAAAGTTTTTATAATTAATAATATTGCACATATAATGGAATCAAGTAACGATGAATCTGATAGTAACTCTGATGCAATGGAGGAAATGTTAATAATATTAAAAAAAAGAGATCAAATTCTATACTTAAAATACGTCGTAGAAGATGTAGTATCTCGATATACAAACAAAAAATTTAAAACTCACTTTCGATATATTTTATAATTTTTTTCTTTGTAATTCTTTTGTTCTTTAGTTCTTTGTATGATAAATTGTTTCTGTAATTTCACTAAAATATATTTATTTTAGATTACATCGGAATACATTTTTTTTCATATTGGAATATTTAACAGGATCAATCTTAGAAAGGGATGGAAAATCAGGTAGATGCACGATTTCTCCTGAAAAGCAATTAAAGCAATAATTTCATATATAATAATGTTTATACAAACTTGGTATAGCGCAAATGATCGAATTTGCTATAATATAAATATAAAACTTTATTTTTATCTCGCAATGCTTTTTGTGCGTCTTCTTTATTTATTATCATTTTATATTGAATATTTGTTTCTGCATCGAGTAGGTTAACTTTTTTTTCTTGAATGTCGCCATTTTGTACTGTGATTGCTGTATCTTTTTAGCTACAGTAGCCGCAGCAGTGACGACAAAATTTATGACGTCATAATTATTCATTAATTATTCTATCCTAGTGCTATCGCAGCACATTGGAATGAATTTCAGAACGGCAGTACTGCCAGTATTGGCAGTGAGTTATGGAACGTAGCCCTAGTGAACGATAGTGCAGCCAAGGGAAAATATTATTAGTGTCCAGGCTATTACAGGGTATCTCGATTTGAAGGAAACTGTGTTAAAAAGAGTGAATAAAGGGGAATGATTTATAATAGTGATTTATAATAGTAATTTTTACTTGACATTTGCCGATGAACTTATAAAATTTCTGTATACCTTTTCACGAATGCCTGAGAGATATTATGCAAAGGTTAGAATAATTGTTTAGCGTAGCATACAGTATTGAACGTATAAATAATAAATTATGAATAATAATATACTATTTTTTGTACTAACTAATTCTTGAAAAACACTAGTGAGTCAAGAAATAATTTACACAGTTTGTGTTTAATTAAAATTAATTTTCTTATAGTCAATCTTATCTCGTCTTGGGAGGATGTTTTGTTTAGTTCAAATGGTCAGATGTCTTCAATGTGGCAGAAATTATATAATGTTCTAACATTACCAATGGAGACTAAAGTGACTAGCAAGACCAGCAGTTTGAAAGCTCTTCTGTTACGAGCTTGGCGAGAGCGTTGGACTGATTTGCAGTGGGGTATTAATATCAAAACAGTAAGTGTTCATATTTTGATTTTGACGATCGGCATACTTTCTATTCATATTCTAAAATAATAAATCTTTAGATTCTGCCAAGGGGGGTAAGTGGCGATGTGTATAATTTAGCAGACTGTATATTGCAACAAGCATTAGTAGGACCTGGGCCTAATCAATTAGTACTGTCATATCTGAAGCATTCCTTAAGTTCTCAGGTTTGTATATTATACATCTGGAAAATATTTTTATTTCTTTGTGTATTGTAATTTATATTAGCCATTTATTTTATTCTCCTACTAGTTGGTATCATATGCTGCAGTATTACAGCGAATAAGTAAATATGATGCATTTCACAAGCCTCATTGCATTGTGAGTTTGCTGGAGTTTTTGGAGTCTATTCAAGGTGGTATTACGTGCCGTGGTAAACCTGAGGAGGATCTTCTAGCAGCAGCGGTTCTGTCTATTGTCCATTGGCTTCTACAATGTTACCTGCACACGTTAACAAAGATGCCTCAAAGCAATCCTCTTATCCCGCATCCAAGCGAGCTTATAGACAAACCTGCCAGTATTTTGCAACAGATGCTGAACTCGGATTTTTTGTGCGCAATGATGTATCTAGCTAAATATAATGACAAAGGTATGCTATAATTAATGATATAGAGAAGATCATTCAATATTTTCTGTTTGTACATGTTTATACATCTGTTTGTTCCTGTTTATACATCTTTTATAGATCTGTATGTAGAGGTTGTGAAAAAATGTCAGGAGATCGAGACATTATTGAAGACGAGCACTCAGAAGTCTGTAGTGCCGATAGACGAATCTTTGAAAAAGTTGTGTAATCTCGAGATCGAAAGTCTCTGTCCTGAAAAAACTAAAATGGAATCCATCACCCATTGTCTACAACCACTTTTCGCTGTTCAAGTATTATTAAATCCTAGTACTGAGACGACTGTATTTGTCAATCAGCTATTAATGGTACAAAGACTAAAGAGCTATACAAACGCGCGGCTTTACTGCGAAATAATTCGCGCCTGTCTGATGTGTCTGTACAATGTAACGGGAACATTCAAGGAGTCACAGTGGGGTGCCTTCACGTTTCTAAAGGTGCCTCAAATACTAAAAGAATTACACGCGGCTAATCTAAATGGTCGGTAAAGTCATTTGAAGTTCTTTGGATGTCAAAAAATGAAGCTGGATTTCATAATTTCATGTTTTACAGCTGATGAAAAATTCGAATATTCGCAAGACATTTTAGATGCATTCGAGATGTTGCTTCAGTTCACACCTCTGCTTGATATAATGGACACTACGTGTTCATGCAATTACTTAGAGTCTTTGTTGAATGAATTTCAAAAGGTAAATCTTGTAACAGAGAAGCAAGCAAAGCAAATAGGAGCTAGGAGGTATGTACATGAGAGACGACGAAAGTTGCGTTTTGATTCATACTCATAGCGCTCGTGTATCATTTGTCTTTGTTCAACATTTGATATAAGTAACAAGGATGAAATTCTATGAGCGTTATAAGCGTGAATCGAAACGCACTCGAAGTATCTTTGCCAAAACTTGACCAAATCGTCAGTTGTTGCTTGTAATTATATAATCTTTACAGGGAGGGAGTGACTACGACGTCATCAATTCCGAAGGTCATCGTACGCGCGGGGCAGACATTAAATGGGATTTTAAGGACGCTGAATGCCGATTACGCAAAGATCCAGGAGGGTTTATTGAGCGTACTGTATCAAGTCTTGACAGGAAAAAGCTTCGAACTGATGTTAGCCGTAGCGACCGTGGAAGGAGAATTGAAGACCTTCGTCACGAAACTCATTAAGTTTAACGAATGTAGTAAACAAATCAACGAGCCTGTACCCGACAAAACAGCAGCGACGAGAGCAATGCTATTCGACGTATCTTTTCTTATGTTGTGTTCTATAGTACAAACATATGGCTCTGATGTAAGTTTGGCGTTGATATGTGTTTCAAATTTCATGACATGAAAAATATTTTATCACTTTATACATTAATTATATTCTTTATATAAAAAAATGACCTACAGGTTGTCTTGGAAGAAGGTGGGGATTCGTTTTTCGAACAATGGGTGCGCGAATGCCTACCAGAACGGAATAAGCTAAAGTCACCACAGAGAATGCTGCAAAGCGTTGATCCGGCGAGGGTGGATGCTTTGCTAACGCAGATCAATTCGCCGGATCCTGATTTCAAGTCGAGCAATCTAAAATGGCACGTCGCGTGCCAGTCGGCAATGGGCGCAGTGAAAGAGCTGCTCTGTGCGTGGGAGAGTGGGGTACTGGGCGCCGGCGATGTCAAGAGGGCCCTGGATGGTTTACGTGCGACGGCTTGCTGCCTGCCAGTTTGCGCTGCTGCGTGGCTATGTGCATATATGAGCATCACACATCAAGACGCTCTGCTGAAACCTATGAATATGGTTCAACACTTTCTGACGCCGCTGTCGGGTGACGAAATGCAGGACAATCTTAAAGATAGGTAAAAAGAAATAAATATATCATTAGCTAAGAAATAGTATTAAATAATTCCATTTTTCCTTAGATGGAAATATAGTCTTATATTATTTACATATTTATATTTGGATGTTACATAAAATTTGATATCTTTTATTTCTTTTTTTCCAGATCAAGCTTGATGTTCCAGATTATTCGGAAAATGCAATATGATGTGCATCCACCCACACAATCGAAAACGAAAGTGCTTTCAATGTCTCACAGGTATTTACAATATTTTTTGAAAACAAATCATTTTTATAGGATTGTTATTTGTATTTATAGGATTTGTTTTTATAGGATTGTTTTTGCATTTACAGTATTATATCGCGGCAGCCGATACTGGAACAGTTGGAATCTGTTTGGCAGAACATAAATCAACGTGGTTGGATAAATATACAAGCTATGCAGTCGTTCGAGTCCTTGTTAAACACTGGTGGTTCTTCATGGTTCGTCACGAATATAGTCAAAGAAGTGCTCAAGTATCGCTATCAAGAAGAACTGGATCAAGCTGTAGATCTAGCCTTTGCGATTTTCCATCTCGATATAGAGAACTGCACTTTGGATCTCATAAATCATATAGTACCACAGTATTTATATAATTCGTTACAGTAAGTTCGTTGTTGTCAATAACATCTAATTTTTAAGCTTGTATACAGAATATTACATGTAAATCTTATTGTGTAGGAGTGATGAACTCGTGGAACCGCAATCGTCCATTCTGGCAAAATTGTGCGTGTACTGTATATTTTCCACTTTGGAATATAATAATTCGAATCCGTATCGTGGGAATAACCGTAAGCGTGTGCGACGTGATTTAGACGCGGATGATTTGGATGCACTGGGCGTATCCAACAAACTCTTGAGACTAAACGAAACGGGTGAGAGTGTTCCTATGTTTGGTTCACAAAGCCCGCAGGCGCAGGGTACGAGTAATGGGCAGAAATCAGTGGTCGTTCTGAGGGATCCACTTATGACAGCATTGAACAATTTGTTCACTATATTCACCTTTCTAGCTGGTAGAGACGGCGAAGTATCCCAACAAACTCATTTCATATTACAATTTCTGCGGCTTATGGTGCAGTGCGGAAAAGACAGGACTCGCATCGTGTTACAGGGAATGCCACAAACGTTGGTACGCTTATTTATATAAAATAGTTATATATTTCCTTAAAGTTCTTAATATTTATATCAAATTTAGAGAAATGTTAAAATAAATTGTATGAACGAATTCGATTTTTCTAAAAAAATCCCAAACAAATTATGATGGGTTGTATGAATAAATGCGAAAAGATCTTTTTGCTATTGGTAATCTTAATCTTTTTTTGCTATTGGTAATGAGTTTGTGCATCTATTTTCAGGTACCCTGCCTTCTCAAAGCATTGCCAGAATTGTTTACGACTGATATTTTGCTGAGACTATATGACATACAAACTATGATTGGACGCAAGGCCACCGCACGAGATTTATGCATGTTGCGGAATATTAATCTCAAGCCCACAAAATAAAGGCATAATCGTTATAAAATAAGACGCGTATTTTCATACAGTATCTCATATAGCAAACATATTATATAGAAAAATATAAATATCTCTATAATGTATAATATTTATCCTTTAAATTCTCATGACATTTGTACTGTTATATTAGCAGAACAATTGTATATTGATAATATACTTTTACATCTTTTAAATCTTAAATATTTTAATAGTTTATACAAAAAATTATAACATGGTAATAATTTACATGTTAATTTCTGTCATTATATATAACGATGTTCGATGTTCGATGTTGAGCTAATCACATTTAAGAGATATCGATTTTATTAGAAGAAATAATTGTGTTCGAGACATACGTTAAAAGTTATTTACTCGATACCTATTTCTTTTTTGTGAGCAGTCATAATATACAAATATCTAAATATAACATTTGCGTTCGTTTTGAAAATATTATATTTCTAGAAAATGCAAAAGTGAATGTTAAAATCGAATTGAACGTTATATATAAAACGGGATATTTAAATATGATCGCTCAGGAACATAATGCAGTAGTGCAATGTGTCTGCGGTTTGAAAATTATTGGAATTTTAAACTTGTATTTTTTTAAATAAAAATTATTTATATCAACATTAATGGTTGTATTATTTTATATACAAGCATCAACCTAATTTTATATACAATAATCAATTTATATGTATGTATACAATTCATGCGTAAATTCATGCGAATGTGTTCTGATAAGTTTCTTTTGAAGTTTCTTTTTGAAAAAATTTCAAATGTATATTCTTTTGCTTTTCACATATGAAGATTATTATTTTACTATAATAAACTGTAGGTATGTCTGAAATACAAAATATTGCCACTTTCTTATAAGAATCTTATTATTTCATACAATGTATGTAAAGTTCAAATGTCTGTATTATTTATGGTAAGGAACAAATTCACAATTTTTTCAAAAATTAAGTCTATATTCCACTGTTTAGCAAGAATTATTCTTACAAATCATCCGCGCACAAGTACTTAAAATCTATCTTACAGCCGATAACTAAAACTAGTACCAAACTAGACATGATTCATAACAATTTATCGTTTATCAATACAAATTGATTCATGAATCGATGTAATGTTTTATTTTAAATTTAATTAAAAAATCGTACTAGTAAATTAAAACAAGTAATAAATGCTGATAAGTAATAAATGCTAATTCTACGAATTGTTATTTATAGTATTTATGAATGGTGAATGAATCTCAAATCACGAGAGTTTGATACTAATTTAAGAGGAATTTATAATGGGGCTTACGTTATACATTAACAAATTAATATGTTATATGTGAAAATGACTCTACAAATATAATAAATATAGAAAAAGTTAGAGAATAAGTGCACAGAGTTCATAGTTTACAAGTAGTTTCGATATATACGCTGTACAATATTTAACTAACATATATATGTATATAATATTTATGTCTATGTTTGTTTATATAGAATATATAAGTAATAATTTTTTATCATCTAATTTACTAACTTTGTCTTCAATTTTTTAACAATTTTCGAATTTGAAGGCCAATGTCAATGAAATGTAAGAATATATATAAACAAGAAAGTAAATATCAAATAAGTAAAATAATGATAGTTTTGATACTTTTCTTTTCCATTGGCACAAATAATTAAATCCAATTTTACATCCACGGGTGCCACGAGGGATCCATTCTACAGAGATTATCGTGACTATTGGCAGCAGCTACCAATGTGCTGACCTTACTGTCAATGCCATCAAAATTTGCTAGAGAATTCAGTCTGTTGATGATAGCGGTGACTGCACGAGTTACCATTGTTATCAGGAGTTCACCTTTTGGATCAGTTGGCGCTTGCGACGTGCCCTCAGCATCCTCTTGTCGTTTGTGATCAGCAATTACTTCATCCCGCAAAATAGCGCGCAGTATAGCATGCAATTGGAACGTGGGCTGAACTAAACAACGCGCCGTGGCAATCGCACTAGCGGTTAACGGTCCGCAAACTCCTGCAAGGAATTGATTTAGTAAAGTTTGAGTGAAAAAACTTGATAATTCCGCAGTAATTTGCGCAGTAATTTAATAAACACGGAGCGTTGGATTTATAAGGAAAAAGCTCTAAAGTACTCTTATATAATATTTAAAAATATATTTAAATATGAGATATTTGTATCAAAATATTTCATTGTGTCGACAGATTTGCATAAATGTGTATTAATACCTATAGTTGTAAGAAATTCGAAGATATTAGGCGTCAGACGGAAAGGTACTGGTCTGTTCGCATCCAACTCTCCAGAAGTATCATCAATGTCAAATTTAAAGTACGCGATGTTGATTAGACCTGAATCCTGATGTACGTACATCATGTCAGGATTGAGTCGTGTAAGATGGAGTACATATTCGGCAAAACATGCTAAAGACAGCTGCAGAGTAAACTGAGAACAAAGATATGAGGATACAATGAAGATACATTATGTTACATGGTAATTGTGGATTTTGTATCAATAATTATTCTTTAAATATTCTTTAAATAAATATGGAAATATTTAATAAATATGGAATTTTATTTTTACTTTTCTTGGTTAATAGTTTAAAGATATTTCTCTCTTTTCTTTTTTCTTTTGTTTTATATCAAAGAATATAAAACTAAAAATTCTAAACTTATATTTTAAATCACTAGTATTTTAAAATACTCACTATTTTTCTGAATGTCCAATAATCAGTGGCACCGGGAAATGTTTTCATTGCCCAATCTTTGAGCATAGTTTTGGGAACCATTGTGGTCTGCACTTCCTTTAAAATGTCTCGCAATACTTGATGGCTTGCTTGGGCACCTCGTGCTTGTACGGCAGCCAGTTTTTCATAATATCTAGCGATAGGAGCATCATGCTCCATTCCCAATTTGGTACAACTCTGTTTGTAAATATCTAATAGAGAAATGGCTGCTGGATTATCTTCTACAAGGCGCATATGTGGTGAGACTGCAACGAGTCGTGGTACTGTAAAGTGCAAGAAGCGGCGCGATGTTTCTTTTTGCTTGGTTAAGTAGTGGTTCAACATGCGCAACAGTTGTAACAGGCGTTCCTCACGTCTGGCATCTCCCAGACCAGCATCGTTCACTACTAAATAAGGATAGATGCGACCATTGTGACCACGAATGCGTAATCTCCTCGCAGTCGTGTTGTGTCGTTGAACTACCTCGACGCGCGGCATAAATCTTGCTATCTTTACTGAATAATGTGAGTGCTGAAAAATTTATTATAGAAAAAAAAATCGTGAAAATTGGATTTTTTTTCGTTTAATTGAAAATAAAAGAGTTCAATTTAGAAGAATTTATCTCTCTTACCCTAGGTATCAGATATTCACCAGGCAATTCAACTTCCGCAGTTCTTAAGTTAAAGTTGCTCAAAAAGCGACATTTCTCTTCAATCAAGAAAGATCTGTGAAAGAATAAATGAATCTGTATGTTAAAAAATCGTTTTTTACTTAAAAAAAAAAATTACAAAAAGCAATTAAGAAATATTACTTTGGAAGCTGTTTCGTCTTTTCTTCAAGAATCTTTATCCATTTCTTTAATTTGCTAATGAGATTGTGAAGCAGCCTAGCTCCAGGCACAGTAAAATCGAAGTCACTCGTAAATTGACCCTTCATTTTTTGAAAAACGGGATCTTGTACGGTGGCTTGGGCTCTTCGTGCCAAGGATTCTGATGCTGCTGAACTAAACGAATTGTTCATGTTTTGCGAAGATGATATGTTCTCTACAAATCAAGAAGAATATATTTTAGAGAGAAGTCGTCCCTTTCATGTTTTAATTTTTGTTTTATAATCTAATGCAAAAAAGAAATGAATTTACCGATTCCAATACCAAAAGTGGATACCAATTTCTTCACAAAGTTTAATGTGTGTGGTGTAATAGTAGCTTCACTAACAGCGCCACGGTTCTCAAATGCTATTGCATAACATTTTGCGAGTCCTTGCCTCAATTGCCTTAAAACTTCTTCATACCACGTCTCACGGAACCATACCATCTGAAACATATAATATTACTTTTTGTAGAAATCTTTTGTAAGAAATGTTAAAATATCAAATTTCAACATGAAGATTTCAATATGCACATTTCTTAATTTTAAATTACAGAAATATTTAAGATATAAATATTAACAGAGCATGTAAATAAACAGAGTGTTTAAATATATATAATATCAAGCTAATGAAAAATTTCTATTACTTTTTTATTTCATTATTTTATTTATATTCTCTTTATATGTAATAACATATGTATATGCATCTTTATTATATTCTATAGCTTTATATTTTTATTTTTAGTTGCTTAATTGTAATCAGCAAATTATTATATATGTTTCATTATGTGATGAATGGTAAATAGTAAAAGAACGTTATTTAAGCTAACCTGATCGATTATACCCTCTAAACTAGATAAGAGAGTTGGATGAATGTCTCTTTGCATATGCATAATTTTTGAACATCTCCACATAGGTATCGTGGCTCGTACTGTATGACCTGTTTCTGGTATTCCGCGTTGTGGTACGTTACTTGTTGTAGTAGAGCCTCGATCTTCAACACCGTCCTGACTCTTACTCGCAGTTAATTCGCCGCTTTTGTGTCTCTCTCTTTGCTCTATCTTCAATGTCAGATATATTGTACGAATAGAGAAATAAACCGCTTGAGGAAACATACGGCCAACTTGACTTAATAAGTTTAGAATACCATCTCCTTCGTGACGTATCAGACACATCAATAACTGCGGTACCCAAGGTAACCATTGAATAGCCGGCACACCTACGGCGTACTTATCCACGGTTTCTATAAGCGATGACTTGTCGTCATCGTATGCAAGTAGCCATAAAATTTTAGCAATATATTTCCTAGATTTGGATTCGTTCTGATGCCTGCAAGCGTGCAGGAAGCATACGAGTGCATTTATACCGATGTTGATCTGACGAGCATCGCGTATAAAAATATTTTCAAGATAATCACCCCATAGGGACCAAGCTTTAACTAATGTGTCATGTAATTGGGCTGCAGCGGAGAAACTCTTATTGGCATCGTCAGAACGACCTAATTGTGATTGAAGCAAACCCTTGAGCGCGTAAAATTCTGCAATCATTTCTTTCGTAAAATAACCCATATTAGTAGACTCTAGAACTTCTAAACCCTCCTGTAATTCGTTTTGTCCTCCCATAGTGGCCATCTGCAAGTAGCATTTTACTTGTTGTCTGATTTTTTGGAAGCAGTCTACCATAGGTACGCTTGTGGGACTATTATAAATTTTGACCAGCGAATCTAAACACACGCCACAGAGATTCTGTTTTCTTGCAATCTTGCCGAAATGAATGATCGCTTGCATAGAAGCATGTACGCCGAGTAACGAGTGATTGGCCGTTTGGTCTTGCTGAGAATCATAGTGATTCGAGATAAAACTATAATGATGCTGTCGCCATGTGAAGATATCTGACCAATGGCTAAGATCATCGGCTATTACAGGCAAACGATTTCTCCACGTCTTGACAATAGCTTTCATATCATGCAGTGAATTATTCCTGCCATGTAATAGTCCTTGATGTATCTGCATTGCTTCTTGGAGCTCCATGATCTGCTGGGCTGCTTGTAGTAGTGGTTGATGAACGTGACTAACAATGCGAGGTAACCGACGCCACTCGCGCATACACATAGCAGATGCCATTTCAACATAACGTTCCACGGTACTCAGATGTTGATCTTCATTGGTGCATAATGTTACAAATCCACGATATAAATTGATCTACAAAAAATTCAAAATTTATTAATGTTCCTGTTTAAACATAGCGTTTAGTATTAAATTTATAACAAGATCAGCAATAAATTATCTTATTAATAAATTATTTTATTTTTGAAAATCATTATATTGCAATACCTTCCACAACATTTCCCTTGGACAATTTTGCTCTAACTGAGCGAGAATTTCCTTCATCACTGACCAATTGGGAATGCGCCATGCACTTTCCAAAACGAGGAAGGGATTATTGTAATTGTTATGCCCACCCAGTTCCAGAAGAATTTCCCACTGATTCTGTTCTTTCACTGTACGTTCCCAATGTTTCTCCCAGAGAAGCATTTCCATGTTGAGATGATAGGGAGCCGGAGTCAACGCAAAATCCTGCCGGAATTTCGTCATACACACCTCGTACGCTCCTTGTGCCTGCTCGAAGAATCCTTGCTGTTCTAATGCAATCGCATGCAGGGTCTCCTTGTAATGCGCAGGCCTCTTTTGCCATAAACCTGACCACATGTCCTCCTCACAAAGCAACGAGTACATCTCTGAGAGCATATTCATCACCTCGTAATAAGGACTGAGGCATTCAACTTGCTCGGTCTCGTCGGGCGAACGATATACATCGGGCTCGCTTCTGTTCTTCGCATTACCACCGTTATTATCTGCCGCCATCTCAACACCCATCTGCTCTAAACTTAAAGTTATTCGATGCCAAACATTGTGTGATCTGCCCAGATATTTCATTACTGCTGGTGCTATGGCCACCGGAGGATTGCAGTGCGCCAATGATTCCAGAAAAGTACCGAGCGCGCTCGGATGGCAATCTTTTTGAATAACGTGTGCGCCACTAGCTACGAATGGTGGCACTTCTGCCATTATAGCAGTGAGATAGGGTTCCTCCAAGTTAGACCATATTCGTGGGAACGTGTCCAACCAGACTCGTTCTGCCAGACCTGTATCCAAGTGGCAGAGTTGAGCGGTCGCCAGCAACAGTTGTTCCGTTCTGATTTTCTTTGCGTTTTCCATAAAATGTATCTGTTTGCGGATCATCTGCGTCAGACTGGGTTTCTCAGTGATTTCATCAGCGACGACGATGGCACTCGTGAAATCCGGAGAATTCATCAGATTGGACATCCAAGCGTCCACCTCGAGAACTGTCTCTTTTAAATCTCCTTCAGCTTCGGTATCGTGTGACTGCACTTCGTCAGCGCGATCGAGACGGCAGACAAAGTGCGTTTGATCCTTGCTATCCTTTTCCATGCCTCCCTGCATGATGGACGAGATACTGGGCAACAAGAGATCCTCATTGGTCATTTGTACCATAGTAGCCGGGTTTACGGTAGCCAACAGTAATTCGATACACTGTTTAATCCAATAGTGGGGTCCTATGTTCTCCCAATTCTGGCTGACAACAATGTACAAAATACGATCGACTAATCGCCTCTTCATCGAATTATCGAATACTTCGAAGAATTTCGCTCTTACTTGCGGTTGTACACAGCGTAGACCGGCCAGGAAAGCTTGTTCCAATTTACATGCCAATTCCGTCACCTTCAAGCTTTCATCGCGGTAAACATAATTCACTAGCTCTAAGAATTGCCTATTTAGCTCCAAATCTTCAGGAAAGCGTTTCTCGACGTATTGCATCATTTTTACCAGCAGAATAGATTTCTCGCGCAAACTTGGAGCTTGATTAATCGCGATAGTACTCTTATTTTTCATCCATTCCTCCAATATCTTCGTGATGGCTTTCATCACTTTAACATCTTGCGTCTTTTCGATCAAACCAACCAAGATTGTACCTATGAACGATTTGCGCATATCGACACTCATTACTGCTACACGATTTTTCACTAAGTCTAGACTGAGAATTAACAATTCGTTTGTAACTGGATTGCTCTCGGTTTGTGTGGGGTGCAAATGCTCTTTTGTCATCCTATGTAGTACTCTCATAAATGGAGTTATCAAACGATCGATATAACTAGGATTGTTTGTGCAGGCTGCTTTAAGCATCATAAGCGTACCGAAAAGTGAGCTCGGCATGGCTGTACTCGTCTTTTCATAAGTGGTCAGACCTTCAGCTATAAATCTACCTACAGTTGAGTACAATGTGTCTAGTTCCTCATACTTAGATGCTACGTTTGTAGATGTTTGTTCGGCCGGAAAAATCGTCATTAATCGTGACAACAAGGCGTGTACTAAACGTATGATTTTAGTATTACTACTGGCGATACATGCACTTATTCCTCGTTGCAAAGGTTTAAAACTAACGAGTATCTGTTCACGTTTCATTACGCCCAACAGAAATGTTAATACTTCTAGAGCTGTGCTGATATTAGCATAATTGGGCTGAGTGTTATCCACACTAGCGAGAACTTTATCGAGCCAAGCCAGTTTTAAATCACATTGTTCAGCAATCCAAACATCAGGTTTAAGTGCCATCTTCAATAAAGCAACACAACGTCTAGATATTTGTTCGCCTGGATTACCATGGATCGTTGTTACATCGTTCGCTTGACATGCGAGACGCAGTAAGAAATTTAAAACGGCGTCTGAATGAGATCTTTCGATGGGCTTCGTTGATCCCGGCTCGAGTCTAGGTAAAATGAGAGGAACGGGACTGTTACTGGGTGGTGTTATCTGTGAGCTCATGCGTTTACCAGATGGATCTTCGATAAGCGTGCGTTTAATGCCTGATGGTTGCACGATGGTCTTAGATTCCGTAGCTTCGGCTTCTTCTTTGATTCTATATAGCTCCCATTTTACGATAACTTCCGCTAACTCAAGAGCCAGTCGCCTGTGTTCGACAGTAGCAGTTTGAGTGCATCCTATACGTTGAATCGAGTTTACTATATGTTGGACTAGATGATGCCTAACGGGGTAATAAACCTTATAGTGCCTTACAACTAATTGCAAAATATGAGATAACTGCTGCATAGAGTGACCCTCTTCCACTATAATCTTTTTTGTCCAATGAGTTAACATAGTATTACCATCTTCCATCCGTACAGGCATTGCAGGCGTCAATATTTCTAATGCCTGCCGTACAACATTACGCGCATCCACGGCATGTGCCTTCAGCAAACTATGAAACACTTGTAATACTATGCGTTTATGAATTGCAAATTTAGCAATTATATGACTAAGAAGAAGATGTCCATGGTACCTAGTCGTTGGATCCACGCAATTTTTGCCTAATAGACAAGGCCAAGCGAAAGTCATCAAACGACGTAGTTTATTTCCTTGCTTCTTGTTAGTTACATCGTGAATATGCTGCGATGCCTGTTCCACTAGCAGACAGGAGAATTGTAATAGAGAAATGCGAACACAGTCAGCGGAGCCGAACGGATTGTCCGGATCGATTATCTTGCTAATAAATACCGACACAACATTCTCCGCTTGATCATCCTTATAAGGCATCGGTGCACCTCCGACCAGTTTTGTACCTTCGCCTCGTTCGAAGCTTATCGCAAAACATGGAATTATAATCAGCTGCAGAACATTGGCCTTCAACTCCTGTGACATATTGTTCGTAGGAAAATGTTCGACGAATCGGAAAAAAGCGCTTCTTTTCCATTCAACAGTGTATTCCTGCGCCACTGTATTTTCTAAGAAATCTCTCAAAAACTGAAAATCCGGCACAAACCGGTCGCACGTGGCTCGAAGTAGTTGAAATAGCAGATCGATATCATTCGGTTGATGACGGAAATAATGTAGCAGAATCTTTACAATGTGTTTCGGCTCCTTCCAGTGGCAATATTCGACGCCCTCGACTTTTTTGTGCAGCGCCTGATAATCATCGTTGTACCAGATCTGTTTCAATGCGCCTACCAATTGGCTCTGGGTAGAGAACCATTGCTCGTCGTATTTAATGAGAATACCGATGATCTTAATCGCTCGATACTGAACTTCGCTCTTCTCCATATGAGTCAAATTGGAGTTTGTTTGTGAGTGAGCGAGCAACATCGTGACAAGCCGCGCCGTACTATTGTGCAAAATATCGCGGAATGGTTTGCCATCTTTATGGCTAATAAGATACTCCAGATATCTGCTCCATTGTTGATCTTTGATATTGCTGTCATGTAAAAATAGATTGAGCGCGTCTGTCGGATAACGAAGGAGACATTTCATCAGAGGTTCTCTAAAAGGACTGGAGACCTCAACTAGAAGTGATTTTTCAGTTTGTAATATGAGTCTGCAGAGAGCGTCGTTAAATTTAGGAAGTGATGCCGGGATGTTGTGATATATCCCGATAATAATGGTAATCTTTTGTTCGTTTTCACCAGACTTTGATATACCCTTGTGGGACTGAATCAAATTTTCCAAAAATTTCTTCACATGTTGCAGCATCTGTTCGCAGAGAGTAACACTAAAAGTGCTTGGAAAGAGCTGCGTTAAATACGATAGTCTTCTGACGCAATTCAAACTTAGATTTCTGTGATCGCCCAGCGTCAATAGCATAGGCCGCATCATCGAATGAACGGATTCCATGTCGAGTTGAAACCCGGAGATAAATGTCTTCATACATTCAAAGGCTGTTTCTTGCAATTCGGCATTGGATCTTTCTAGAGTTTTGTAAAGAACTTGAAGTATCTTTTCTCGCCAGCCTACCGCGCAATGGTAAATTACGAGTGCTCGTAAGGCTGACTTTCTTAAAGGTGTCAAATTCGTAACCGATTTATAGCAAGCTACTTTGTTGAGATTAGCCTCATCTGCTTCACAGATATTTACCAAATCCTGGAAAAATACTTTATGTTCCTGCGTATTTGAATCGATGGTGAAAAGTTGTGGATTCAAAGCAGCACAGAATGTATTACCATCCATCAAACCAATCTGTGCATTGGTAGATTGATGTCTCAGGAGATGTTTCTTGGGTGGTATCATTTCTGCTAGAACTTCTTTATGTGGCTCCATGACTTTAGCCACTGATTTGTTTTGTATTTCGGCGAGTTGACGTAAAGAGGTCATAGCCTGTTCGCGTACAATCGTATGCGGTGACGTCACCTGTTTGACTAGTTCGCGAGTGACCTCGTACAGACTCTTGCTTTGCGCTTCTCTCAGTTCCATGTTGCCTTCTTGAATACCAGGATTCACGCAAACTCGTAACATTTTTCTTAGATTTTCCTTCGCCATATCGATTGCACCATTGGATACTTCATCGGTTAGATCCATCATCACGAATATGAGAGCCTTTAAAAACATGAATAAATGATTAAGAACCCACTTGGTAGCCATTCGTTCGAATAAAAACTTTATCGCTATGCAACCACCCAGTTTGGCGTACCAGGCGCGCTCATAACATAATGAACACATTCTCTCTGCCAAATACTCCATAAAAGGCAATTGGCAGGCCCGCTCCTTGGAACCTAGAATATTGGTTGCTGTTTCCAATATCAGCATAAGCGCTAAATATCCGACTTTATATAGTTCCCTTTCGTCATGAGCCATTATAACGGCGAGAGCATCGATCAAAACAAGCGGATCTTGACCTTGTATATCCTTGCGAATTTCCCGTTCCGTCCAACTAAAAAGACCAGCTTGTTGCGCTATCGCAATCATAGTGTAGTGTCTTACGATAGAAACAACGGTCTCGAGTACCGATGGTCTCAATTCTTTGATCTCCGCGGCAACAAACATGCCAGTCAATGCGATCTGCTGTACATTTCGCGCTACTGCATCAGGGCATCTATAGTGTGATCCTTGCTGAGGCGATATCTCGCTTTCTTTAAAACTTGAATGAGTAAACAGATCATACCACAGATATGCAGCATCGTCCATTTTTAAAGATGCTGCTAAGTAGCAATATATGATCTCCCAACATTGCTTGCGATAGAACAAATCTGTTGTAGAAGCTTTCAATGCATTAAACGCAGCCTCAATTACCTTTTCCATTGGAAAATCGATCGATTGAGAAAGTCCTTGGAAGTAGACTACTACGTTAGGCGAATTGGTTTCACGATCGTTATACTCTAATTTCTGTGGCTCGATCATCATTCTTCGATTTCCACCGCCAAATTTGCCAAGAACTCGAAAGGCAACGTGAGCTTGATCATTAGAATTATGTAACGTCCTCCAGAGTGCTTGCATTAATTCTGCACGAATTGGTTGTATATGCTCGTATAAAAAATCTGGTTGAAGATTGTCTACGCATAATTCCAGAGTACGCAGACCTTGACTCACCAAACAGTAACTTCCGTTAAGAGCAGAAACTAATGGATCCATCAACATTGGAAGGTATGGCAAGAGTGAACTAAGACGCACTGGGACGGTTAAACACAATTCTACAAAGAGATCTTTCATATGTTGTCTATGTAAACCAGATTGCAACCTATTCAATCCTTCCAACATGTTAGGGAGCAGAGGTAAGAATTCTTGATATAATAAATCGTGTGAACCTCCTCCAATAGATCGGAACAGTGCGCGCAATAGCAGAAAATAATTGTACGGTTCTTTCGCCGACATAGCGAGTTCCATAGCACGATTCACGATTAGATTCAAATGTGGCCGTAACATATGCTCATTTTCAGCTGGGAAGAGAGATACGCTGCCAAAAACAAGCTTAAATAATTTCAGATACAAGTTGCTACGTTCCACGTTAGAACCCATTTCGCTCATTCGCTCCAATAGATATTCTACTAGTATTGTCGCGAATGTCGATGAGATTGTGTGACTCGATAAGAAAGCACTCCCAATTATTTGCAGGGCACAGTTCTTGAATATCCTCTCAACCATATAATCTATGGATACGGAGAATATCTCTTGGAATGTTTGGGGGTTCATTTGCGTAAACACATTCCCAAAAAGATCTAACACCTCTTTTTCTTCTCTCGTTCGTATAGTTTGAGATTGTGCTGGTCTACCTGGTTGCGCAGGAACACCGACCGTAGGTGGTCCTATTGTAAAGATATCTAGAGCCGGCAACGCCCATTTAACAAGCTGTATGTAGATCAAAGTTTCCTTCGGTTGAAGCTGATTAGATTGCGTTACTTCGCTGGTTCTGTTGATGCAATTAGATGTTATAGCCTTAGCACCGTGTACCAAGCTCTTCACTAGATTCCTATAATCCGCCACGTTGTAGCTCATTGCTTGCGAGGTCGGAAAACCGAATTTTGATTTTGGTGGTTCTTTTTCCTCATTTACATCGATACACGGTTTTGTATCCTCGGCTGTATTGTCCGTAATAGTGGGTCGCAACTGTTTCGTTTTGTTTCGTAAAATTGGAATATAGATCTTGGCAATGGTTTTAAATTTCAAGACGAAAACCAACAGAATACGCATCAATAATTCCCGTCCTTGATTGCTGTTTTCAGCGTCAGATCTTTGTCTAACTGTATCCACTAAGTTCATCAATAACTTACATGAAACCATTTGAACAGCTGTAGGCAGAGTTTGATCAAGCAGATTTTTACCATATAAATGTACTGCTCTAGAAACATCACTGAGGGGTAACTGAAGTCTTACATGATGAACCAAATCAGCAAGTGTAGAATAAGCCAGCGGTCTAAGGACCTCATGAGCGGTCCAACCATGGCCAATAAAAATATCTTCATTGAAGAAAATTTCCATATGTGGGATAAAGTGATTTCGCAGATCCGTAGCAAGTATATGACGCGAAGCTATTACTAATTCCTTGCGTAAATGAGCTACTTCCATGGGACAGAGAGTAAATAAACCTAGTATACCTTTGACTAACATTGTACTGTTTTGAGATATTAAATCTTGATACGATCTTATGACGTATGCGAGAAATGAAAGTGTCTTAACTTGTGCACCCATAAAGTCAACAAAGACTTCCTTATTGAATCCGGGTGATGCTCGATGTTGGGGACTAGGTTGTAGTGAAATGGTCGTTATTACAATTGGAACAAAGTTTGACACTTCTTGATGTACGTTTTGCTTGTATAACTGATTCAACAATACTACAATTATTGGCAATTCTTGAAGCACTTTGAGAGATAACACTGCTTTTGGAATCAAATTATACTGAAAATAATAAAAAATATCTTAATTAAATATCTAATTCTAATCCTTTCTTTTTCATTCACGTTGTATCTTCAATTATGCTCTATACATGAATTATATAATAAAATTTTAATGAAATAGATTTAATATTAAATAAGTAAATAAAAGAATATATTTACCGTCACGACAGTACCATCAGCTGCTTTCTTTTCACTTTGTATCGCTGTAATCGTGAACGTTTCTTTTAATAAGGCTTCTATGTTAATTTCTGACAAATCTTTTACGCGTAGAGGAGAACGTGGTTCAAATATTTTTGATAAATTTTTTGGCAATTCGCTATACACTGATTTGACAAATTGAAGGAAGTATTGTATCTATAAATAGAACAGAAAAAATGATAAAACAATGATATTTTAAAAATATCATATATTTTAAAATAAATAATAATTGGCAAGAATTTCAAGCCAATCTTTGTCTCGTGTATATGTGTGTCAATTTATAGAAGATTGATTGAAGAGTTTAGAAATTATAAGTAGAAAATATAAAAATTATATTTGGAATATAAGAAAATAAAAGAATATTGATTTATTATTCCACTATTATAAATAAATCATAATAATGGAAATAAACCAATATATACAAGGTAAAGCAAAAATTACTATCATTTTGAATATTTTCAAACTTATGAGAGCAAGAGAAAAGTTTATCTAACAGAAATTACATGATACAGAAGCATTTGTTTTATGGTGATAACATCTTTTTTTTTAGATAGAATAGCTTTGAAGATTTGAAAGTCGAATAGTAAAAAATGATATGCAAATGAATAGGTTATTAAAGAAAGAATATTACTTACATCCGGATTAAATATCGGTTTATATTGCTTATGTAGATCAATAATGATACGTAAACACACCAGCACGTTTTCTTCATTATCTGTTTCTAGTAATTTGAATGTAAGAGTTAGAATTTGCCTGACATACGGGCGCAAGTATTCGTTACTCGGTAATCTGTGTATCATTTCCAGAATCAATTTTCTAACTTGTTGGATATTATATTCTGATATGAAGTGCGGTTCTCCCTCTTGCAATATTTTCAGAAAGATCTTCATCATATGATCCAGAAATGTTGAATATTGTGATGAACACATAATGATCTGTAATTAATTTATAAATATATATTTCTCAGAAGATTAATTTAGAATTATTTTGATGTACCATCATTCTTGTGGTATAATTTATATGCTAATACCTCAAAATTTTCTGATAATTCTTGGGCTGCCTTTAATTTTAGCTCATCTTTCGAAACTGGATCAGCCAGCATGGTCACATATGACAGATATGTATTCATTTGCGCCATTGGATTGGATGCCATTTTGATCGTTATGTAAAATCCTTGATGATTACTACAAAAAATTCATTAAAAAATCTGTACAGAAAATCAATATTTAAAATATTAATATTCAATATAGAAAATATGTAAGATAACTTAAAATAATATCAAGATATATTATAAATTACTATAATACTATAAATTATAAATAATTATATAACTATAAATTACTACATAAAATATTTTTGTTAATTTACAATTTTTGGATATTTAAAGCAAAAATGTTGGACATTAAAAGCTATTTATTATTACTCCTTAATTAAAGCATGCTTTACATTAATAAGTTTATATTAAATATTAATTAATTTATATAATACAATACATTTATTTGATACAAATGTCAAGCTATCCAACGAATATATACATGTCCTAAAATCAATGGTTCAATCTTGTGTAAACAAGCCTTAGCAACCACTTTGCACGGTAACTAAAATCTTTTTTCATTTATAGTATACAATTGAATTTTATAAAGAGAATATGTGCTGTGTGTGTAATGTGACTTTTGTATAATATATAATATTGTGTAAGTTATATATACTAAATAATGTAAGAATCTTATAAAAAAATAAGGCACTCAAATACAAATGTGATACAAACTTTACGTAATTCATGAGATACTATATTTTTATTATGGATATATAACATACTGGAAACGTAGTACTGGGTTCAGTTTGCTAGCATTGCTGTAAGCGATAAGACGCAGTTTCGATTGATTTAAATTTCTAACTCAGAGATCCACATAAGAAAACAAAAACCAAAAAAAAAATGGATGAAATAACGATTGATTCAATTTTTTCGGGATCTTTAAAATCCCTACCGCCTGTCAGTTCAAAAATTGTGCGAATATTTACAAGTTCGACCTTTACTGGTAAGTTATTAATAGTTATCATAGAAAATCATAAAAGTATAAGTATAGAAAATATATTTTAATAGATTTAATAAAAGATGTAAAAGAAAGCATAAAGACAATGTAAAATAGTCAAAATCACAATATGAAATGACAATGACCGTGTATCTATTGTCAATTATATTTTAGACACAACAATGGAAAGAAATACTTTAATGGCCCAGTGTTATCCCAAACTTAAAGATTACTGCAGAGAAAAACATGGTTTAGAATTTCAGGTAAGCTTTCAATTTGGGTAAAAAAGATAATAATATAGCACGTTGAGATGAGCTGTCTACCAAATTCCGATATATATAGAAAAACATAAGTTATACATACTGAGAAATTGATTTTCACGGTGCCAGGTACCGATATTGCATTATATGATTCAACCTTTTCATGTTAATCCTTGATAAGGATCGAGCAAACTTGATAACTATTTGTGTAGGTTACATATATATTATACAAATATATATTAAATATATTTATATATCGGCACACAAAATCAGTTGTGATTACATACGTTTTACTTATCTAATTAATAATTTAGTTTAACAATAGCATAAACTAATATGTTGTTATAGAAATTAAAATTTATCTTACAAGGATGTTTAAATGCGTTTTTATAGGTAGTTGATATGAGATGGGGCGTACGTGACGAAGCTACTGATGATCATATGACTACGGAGCTGTGTATGAGAGAAATAGAAAATTGTCAAAGACTCTCCATGGGACCTAATTTCGTTGTTAGTAAATAGAATATTTGTTATAATTTAAATATTTTAATTCTTCAAAAGTTCAAATTACTTGTCAAAATCACAAAAAGAAATTTTCAATAACTAATAAATACATATTTCATAACATATCCAAATGATGTTGATTTATAATTTCAAAATTAGATTTGACTTTCAAATTAGACAATAGAGAATCGAACAATTTTGAAATCTTAACATTAAAAGACTACCAAGTTACTAATCATAAGAAACAAGTACAACAAGTATCTTCGCAGGTATTTCTTGGACAGAAATACGGATATCGTCCTATACCGACATATGTCCTCAGTTCGGAACTAGAAATGTTAAGAACAGAATTGGAGGGTCAAGGGATGGACGTTACTCTTTTAGACAAGTGGTACAAGAAGGATAGCAATGCTGTACCGCCTACAAGTATATTACAACCGATCTCGTCTATTCTTAAAAATTTTAATAATAAAGTAAACAATTTTCGATGTTTTATAATTGTACTCGTCTGATGCATCGCCTGTCAATTAATTATTATATAATTATTTCTTTCTTATATATCTATTTTGTGTATGTTTAAGAGAATACCCAAATTGCAACAAGAGGATCAGGCAATTTGGTGGGACACCATGTGCAAAATGCAAAAATTGTTCAGGAAAGGCGCACAATCTTTGTATAATGCTGGCAAATTTGACAAGGACACGATGCACAATTATTTCATGTCCGGTAAGAGAAATGTAATAGATAATGAAATAAAAAAGTAGTTCGGCCTAATAACAATATTGATGAAATAATAAAAAATCGTACGTCCTCTGTTAATAGAGATAATTTTTTAAATATACAATCTTTTAAATATTAAATACGTTACATTTAAATATAAATTTTTTCATTAATAAAATTTTTATTGATTAGACATTAAACTTTTGTAGTCCTATATCTAACCAAATTTGATAAAATACTTATGATAATTGCATTGTTTTCAAAGAACCACATCACGTATACATACGTACACTGTAGGAAAAAAATGTGTTGAATTTAACATAAATCGCATGTCCCAAACAGTCCACTCAAAACTTAATTTAACATAATATGGATGTGTTAAGTAATAACACCGACACTATGTTAATATTTTAACAAAAAAGAAATACTCTTGATCTTAATTTGAAATTAATTGTGTGTTACAATTAACATAATTTTTATGATAAAATAATATAAATTTAATAAAATAATATTAAGTTTTATGATAAAATAACATGTTGAGACGCGTCAAAATTCAAGACTGTGCCGAAACCACACAAAGAATAATAACAAGTCATCCCCTGTTATAGAGTAAAACCAACATTTTTTTTGTGTAAATTTTAACATATTGAATAAATACATACGAATTGTGTTATTTTAACACATTTCTTAAATCATTTTAATAATTTTACATTTTATATTTATTAAAATCAGTTAACATAGTAATATGTGTTAAATTTACATATAAATATGTAGGTTATTTAATACAAAAATTTTAACAAGGACCGATTTTAACATAAATACAAAATGTTTTTTACTATGTATTTTTTCATTTTTGATTTTTTCATATAAAGAATGCGGAACTTTTTTATATGGAACTGTAGAACTATAAAAAGTGCTGCTGGAATTCTACTTGTTTTTTTTATACTAATTATACTAATTTATACTAATAAAATGTCGTGCTAAGTTCACAGATTCGAGACTATGTCGAAATCACACAAAGAATAATAACAGGTCATTCCCACTTCTGTTATAAAGCAAAATCAATATTTTTTAAAGTAAATTTTAACACACTTATTAAATACGTAAAAATTGTGTTATTTTAACACATTTTTAAAATCATTTTAATAATTTTACATTTTATATTTGTTAAAGTCAATTAACATAGCAAAGACATGTGTTAAATTTACATATAAATATGTAGATTATTTAGTATAAAAATTTTAATCAGCAAATTTTTTCACAAAAATACACAAATTTTCTAACAGTGTAATTATAATGTGCAAATTGTGCTTTAAACTGTGTAATCATAAATTCTTCCAAATAATAAAAATTTTTTTCTTCACGATTGGATCGCCAATCAAGCAAAAGAGAAAAGGCATTTCATCCTCGCTATTTGTGAAAAATAATTTAAATCAATAACAAGAGAACCAAGTATCCCCTTCCTCCGATTTTAATGAACTATGTTAAAAGTAATAATAAAATAGCAGTGAGTTTATTAAACCGTTAAAGTCAGTCAAATATTTTGATGATATGTTAACGTATATACTAAATACTTTGGACAATTAAATACAAATTATTATATAATTAAAGAAAACAAATTATTTTATTTACAAAACATCGTTTAACTTTGATTATAGACCAGCTAATTGCTTAAAGTTTGGTTTTTCTTTTATTATGCATAGGAATAATAAAAAAAAAACTATGTAATAGTCTCAAGACTTTGAGAACTTCTTCATATTTTATTATTAACTTTATGATTTTTGTACATGTTACTGGAAGAATACAACCGTTAGATGTATATGATTTATGGAAGAATTTTATCAGACATTTTTCAGATATCGTCATGCTTCTAGGTTTTGAGGTAAACAAAGTATTATCGGAAAAAATCGAGAAACCTTGGAATTCTGAGGGGATTTAGTTTTTCTCTTTAAAAATCATGAATTTTCATGGAATTTCATTAGTATTCAAAGAAATTTTTAAATTTTATTTTTAAATTTGAATTTTATTTCTTTTTGACAAAATTATTTCTTATATTTTAGAGGTTCATCTTTTCTTAAAAATAACATCTTTTATTTTATATTTTTATATATATTTCTGTTATATGTCAAATGTTTAAATAGTGTTTTATAGTAATCCTCTGATAAATTATTATCCAGATTAACTTCGTTACTAATAAATCAATATTAAGTGTAGTGCAGTTCCATAATATTATTTAATTATTTTAATATTATTTAATTAATATAATTTATAATAATATTCCTTATCATCACGCGTTGTGTATTTAACTATTTTTCAAAGTCTGTATCTCCGATAAGTTAAATCCATGTATCGTAGACAAATTGTTATATGGTTCTTCATCTTTTTTTTCTTTAGTATTTTTCAATTTAATATTCAAATCCCAAGTAGTTTTCCTTTATAATTAAATAATTAAAGAATATTAAAAATCTTGTGTAATAAAATAAATTTATTTTAAAGCTGCTTTAAAAAATTTTATAAATTTCCTGGAATTTTGATTAAAATTCCTAGAAAATCCGGGAATTCTCAGGAAATTTATTTATAAAATTTGAGTACATACCCTGGGTAAAGTTTCATTCAAGAAACATTATTTTAAAATTACAATTCCATAATCAATTTTCATCACCAAGA